GTTCTTCAGTTGGTTGATTTTATATTTTGGGTTTGAACGTTCTTTTCTTTTGTGATCTTGAGGCATCCTAAGGTTCGAAAATTTTTTTACGATTTCTGTAAAATTCTTTTCCGTCCGTTGTGCGTGAGGGAAGTTTGGCCTCTGTGAAATTTGTTTGTTGCTAGTTTATGAGATGATAAATGAGGGTTCGAATGTGTGATATTTTTTTTTTGGATTTCTGTATTCTGTGCTCCAATCGGTGCACCTATTGTATTTGTTCTCTCTGTTTGTTCGATCGTTGACACATATGCTTTTTTGGCTCTTACTAGATAGAATAACGTTATTTTTCTTGGTCTTATTGCAGTTTACAAGTAGTGATGTAGAATGTTTTCATTACGAGTTGGGCTTCTCTTTAGTTCGTGATAGCAGTAATATCTAGAGGTTTTTCCTGCGATGGTTTTTGAGGGAGAAATCTACTTTCATGTGATTTGATTTTTTATTTTTCTTGTATAGTGTTGAACGTCGAAGTTGATGTTAATTTGTTGTACACAAACCATGGAGTGAATTAGGATTGTTTGTTGTATATTTTGTATGGATTGATTAATGTCTGCTTGTTCTGAATTTTAGTTCTTATTCTTGTTTTTATTGAAATTTATGGATGTTCTGCAACTCAATTTCATTTAACGGAGTTTGATTGATTTTTTCTTACGTTTTGTGTGAATTGGTTTCATTTCGAATTATGCTATTAATTTTTTTTTTCTATGTGATGGATCTGTATCAAAATATAAAAACATAAAATAAAATATATGCCTATGGTGGTTTCTATATAAGTGAATATAAAACAAATATTTGGGTGGAACAATGTATCTTTTTGCGTAATGTGTGTGCAAATTTCTTATAAATATTATATTTCAATTAAGGAGTTTCAATGAAGGAATTATGTTGTATTGTTTAATTTTAGATATTTGAGAATCATTGAAATGTGGATGGAATAGGTTGGTAAATAAGAAAGTAAATAGAATTGAGTGTAGAAATAGCAGAATAGATTAATCAACGTTCGTGTGTGTGGCAGTCGGACTTTCTTAACAATATTTTTAAAATTTTGCAATTTCTATTTATGTGATGATAAAAAATTATAATATATAATATAGAAAAATGAATAAGTATACTTAGTTTTTTTATTCTTCCAACTATAATACTTAGGTGAGTATAATTTATTCATTTCTCCGTCTGTATATTTTCATTTTATCTTTTGAACGAGAAAACGACATTGTTTTCCTTTTATTCGTGCAACCATCTTGTCATTGTCCTTATTTTAGTCATTGTCCTTATTTTCGTCGTCTCTTTTCCATCCCTCCCATCCTTCTGTTTTCTCCATGTCTTCAAGTTGCGTGTATATTTTGTTTGGTGATAGACCCTTATATTCTTCCGTCTTGTACAATTTGTAAACATTGTGGTGCAAAAAAGTTTTACAAAGAAAGTAAGAATTTTTGTTGTTGTGATGAAAATGTTAAATTACAACTGAACAATGTTTCCCCTGAATTGTATGAGCTATTTACTTCTAATTCATGTGAAGCGATTACTTTTAAAAAAGTTGCTCGTACTTATAACAACCATTTTGCATTCACTTCATTTAGTGTTAATTATGATAAAAATTTGTGCAAGAATAACAGAGGTGTGTATACGTTCAAAGTTCAAGGACAGGTATACCATTTTATAAATACACTTCTACCAATTGATGGAAATCCTGCGTATTTGCAGTTATACTTTTACGATACTGATAATGAAATTAGTAATAGACTACAAATTTTAGATAGGTAAGTGAATCAACTTTGAAAAAGTTAATAGATATCTTAAAGATGAATCCATATTGTCGTTTCTTTCGATCATTAAGTGAAGTTTCTAATTTTAATTCACGTTGTATCGTGCTGAGGTCTGATCCGGGTCTCTACCAAAAAGTATATAACATGCCATCATGTGAACAGGTGGTTGTAGTGTGGGTTGATGAGGATCCATCTGCAAACATAAAGACTCGTAATATGTTAATTTATAGACATTCCAATATTGCACATAGAGTAAATTACTACTATGGCTGTTATGATCCACTTCAATATCCATTAATATTTACCTATGGAGAACCTGGATGGCATGAAGGTATTGAAAAAGTAAATTTGAATACTTCAATAGTCCATGAAAATTTCATAGAAATCAATCACACTGATTCGGCAGAACAACTTATAGAGATGGAAGATTGTGCTAAGCTTTATTACCATTGATGTTCTTTAATCTTTTTAGAGCGCATAAATGTATTGCCATTTCTAGATCTGTCATTGTGACTTTAATTTTTTTTCCTTTCAGTTATGAAGAGAGGTAAGAAACGAATTACTGTGTGGTGTCGTGAATATTATTGTTGCAAACTTCAAATTAGACTTTTAGATAAATCTGTACTCCTTCATACAGGCAGACTTCTACAACAATATATAGTGGATATGCATGTTAAGATTGAAACTGCGAGATTAGATTATTTTCATAATAATCAAAAGATTACACGAGGTGAACTTTACCAAGGAATTGTAGATAGTATACAAAATGGTGAGAATAGAGGCTATAAAATTGGCAAATCAATTGTGTTGCCTACAGGATTTATTGGGGGTCCTAGAAATTTAACTAAAAGATATATGGATGCAATGTGTTTAGTTCAAAGATATGGAAAACCTGATATATTTTTAACAATGATATGCAATCCAAATTGGCCCGAAATTAAACAAGAATTGAGGCATAATGATAAAATACAAAATATGCCGGATTTGTTAGCCCGAATATTTCGAGCAAAACTTGAAGAACTAAAAATAGATTTAATAAAGAGAGGAATTCTAGGGCCTATAGCTGCCTATGTGTATGTAATTGAATTCCAAAAAAGAGGCATGTATCATGTTCATTTTCTCCTGATATTTAAAACGAGTTTCAAGATTACTAATTTTATGCAAGTTGACGAAATTGTTTCTTGTAAAATACCAGATCCAAAGAGAGATTCTCACCTGCGTGCTATTGTAGTCAAACATATGATGCATGATCCTTGTGGACAATTAAATCCTACAAATGTGTGCCTGAAAAATAACCATACTTGTAAAACAAGTATCCAAGAGAATACATTTTGCATACTTCATTAGGTAGTGATTCATATCCACTTTATAAGTATCGTGACGATGGTGTTACTGTTAGGGTCAAAGGTCTGTACTAGACAATAGATGAGTTGTACCATATAATCCTTATATTTTGGCTAAGTATGACTGTTACATTAATGTTGAAATATGTTTTTCTGTTAAAGCAGTCAAATACTTATACAAATATGTATACAAATGACATGATCGTGTTAATTTTACTGTGAAAAAAGAAACCAATGAGCATTATATTGATGAGATTTCGAATTATCAAACGCTAGATGGATATCTGCACTGGAAGATATATGAAAAATTTTTAGTTTTGATTTATTCGACATATCTCCTTCTGTAGTTTCTTTGCAGTTACATATTGAAGATGCTCAGTTGGTTACATATAATGAAACAGATGATTTATCAGAAGTTATAAATAAAGACTCCATCCAACGAACAATGTTAACTGAATTTTTTAGAATAAATATTTCAAATGAAAAGGCACGGACTTTACTTTATAAGGATTTTCTTACATACTTTGTATGAAATACATATTTTCGAGTTTGGAGTTCTAGAAAAAAGCAAAATGTTATTGGTAGAGATACTTTCTAAGAGTTTTATTGAATCATGTTAAAGGGCCCAAGTCTTTTCAATATTTAAGAACAGTTAATAACATTGTTGTGCCTACTTATCGCGAAACTGCATTTTTACATTGTCTAATAAGTGGGAATAATTATTCTGAAATGTGTTTAACTGAGGCGATCACCTATCAAATGCCTATATCATTGCGTCGCCTATTTGCTAATCTGTTAATTTTTTGTAGCCTTGGAAATCCTAGGAATTTATTGATTAAATTTAAAGTGTACATGATAGAAGATTTTTTATATACAAGCATGACAGTATGTAATGCCGAGGTTAGGGCTTTGAGATGCATAAATTCATTCTTGAAAATTTTTGGTACAAACATAAATGATTTTGGTCTAGTAGATTTTGACGTTATTGTGAACGATGCTGATGTGCTAGCAAACGTTTAGCAAACATGATTTCAGAAGAGACTACAAATATTAATGTTTAGTGTGACATGCATTTTACAGAGAATTTAAATAAGGAACAACAATCTGCCTATGATGTTGTTTTAGACTGTATTGTAAATAATAAAAATGGAGTTTTTTTATTGATGGTCCAGGAGGTACTGAAAAAACTTTTCTGTACAAGGCATTACTTGCTGCAGTATGATCTCGACAACTTATTGCATTAGCAACAATATCATCGAGAGTGGCTGCTTCTTTATTGCCGACTGGGCAAACTGGTCATTCACATTTTAAAATCCCACTTCAAACAAATTCTGATATGCGATGTTCAGTAAGTAAACAATCATCATTTGGTCAACTTTTACAAACGACAAAGCTAATTGTGAGGGGTGAAGCACCAATGATTAATAGATGTGCTTTTAAAGCTTTGGATAAAATGTTAAAAGATATTATTGAATGTGAATTGCCATTTGACGGAAAGGTTGTTGTGTTCGGAGGAGATTTTCGACAAGTATTTCTAGTAGTACAAAGAGGAACAAAAGATGATATCA